AGATACACGCCTGTGGAGAGATACACGCCTGTGGAGAGATACACGCCTGTGGAGAGATACACGCCTGTGGAGAGATACACGCCTGAAGAAGAGGTGGTTCGTTCCAACTCCCGCAACCAGGCGCTCGTGGCGGTTGAGAATCTGAGGAAGAGAATCGCGGAAACGGAGGACGAAGACGAATGGCCTCGCAAGAAGCCGGCGTGGGGGTATGAGCTTCCGCCGAACGAGATCGCGAAAACCGATACTGACGTCAAGCACGAAGCGGTGAAATCGAAAGAGGATAGAGCTGCGAGGCTACGCGCATACTGTGCCCGGAAACAGGCTCAAATTGAGCAGCAGCAGCGAGAGAAACAGACTGGATACGGCGACCTCGTGGCTGCCGGATCGTCCAGATCAAATGCAGCTCCATTGTTGCCTTCCACAGCTCTGAGGACATCTAGTATGGGACCTGAGGGTTCAGATCGAAACATCCTCCAAGTCATGCCCAAATCCACTGTGGCACCAAACACCAAGCCCTCTCACGCTACCGATGCAATGAATGAGGTGATGCGTTTGAAGGACCATGAGAAAAAGATGGGCCCCGACTCCAAAAAACAGTTTCGGGACTACATCTTTACCAGAGAAGCCGAAATGGCTACTAAGAATCGTGATATAGAGGCACACAGTGAGTCTCAGAGCCGGCTCGTGGAGGACCTGCAGAAACAACTCCAAGCTGCGAAGTCTGAGATCGAGAAACTTCGTACGATGCACCCTACGGCGCGCCCAGTCCAAGGTGAGCAGATCAAAGGGCCCAATGAACTGTTGAACGATACCCGCAAGGATGCACCCAGGCACGGCACTGAGAAAGCAGCGATGCAGGTGCACAATCGATCTGCAGAATCAGAGAGTGATGCAAATCGCAAGCTGGAGAAGACTCTTCAGCCCTCTATCCAAAATCTTCAACATGAAGCAGAGATGATGGGAACACTCTTGGCGCGGCTCACAGTTACGCATGGATGGATGCAGGACCGCATTAGGAAGTTGGAATCATACGTTCAGGAGTCTGAGGATCGTGATACGCGTCCCTCTATTGACGGGGAAGTGCCTCCTAGTCGCCCCGTCGAGACAGCAAAGCAGCTGGATGACCAGACGAATCGAAATGGTCTTACTCAGCCAGTTCCAATGGCATCGTTGTTTGCTCAACAGGGTGAAGCCTCTACCAACGACAGACGTCCAAGCTCCGTCTGGCAACCTGTTATCAAAAAAGAACCAGAGTGAAAGGCCGGATTATGCCCTCTTTCAGTGGGGTAAGAAACTGTGAGAATTCTCACCTGTCAAAATTATAATGGTTTCATGTACATCTAGTAGTTAGTGAGAGATGGTGTCACAATGTATGTGACACTATTCTGCTCTTTCAACAATGCCAACGAGTATAGTAATATAAAAGTCCTACAAAGCATCTTAATATTAGTGTGAATCCTATCTAGACCAGTAACATATCCTTCGAAACAGCACCTGAACCCCTAAGATCATATCTACGAAGTAGTGCCATTCAAAACAATTTTTGGTTCAACTTAGCATCATTTCGTAATCCTTCGGCAGAGGCAACAATTTACAAAAGCGCCTGAAAGGACCGATGGTTGATTTCTGAGCGGAAGCATCCGTTGAAAAGAACTTACTGATAAAGTTCGATCCTCTATGTTTGATTGTTATTTCCTGTAGTCCAGCTGCATGAATGGCGTTCAATTGACTTGTCGGAACGGTTACCAGAATTTTGTATGTCGGCAAATACGACTCATGTTTGGGGCTTGATTTGCATAGTTCGTGACATCAGCATTAAATATTGACTTAATGTGACTTGCTTGTATCATGATCTAGAAATAATGATCATGCTTGTGAGGCTCAATCAATCGAATCGTCCCGCGTTTTTCGCTAAGTCAAACTATCCGACGCACGGTCCATATCGCCAAAAAAAAGTGTATCCACATCCACCATCACCAACCCAACTCTCGCCTAGAGCAAAAAAAAAATCTTTTCCACAACAACGTCGAGCAGTTGATTCAGAGGACAAAAAAGAAATGGACTTGCTGGGAATCGAACCCAGGACCTTTCCCATGCTAAGGGAAAATTATACCACTAAACCACAAGCCCAGATGACTTCGTTGAAGATTTCGTGACTTGTTGAGGAGATATACCCAGCAACAGGACGAGCACATTTCAGGGAACAATCGTGACAGCATTCTAAATCTGTTCTCTACATTTAATCCTTTAGTATCGATGTATTGTAGGGAGTTTGAAATCTAATTTCAATAATAGGGGCGTCGCAGATTGCCTAGTGGCGTATAAACGATCTCAGCCGTCGCTATTCTTGTTAGCCCCAAGCACAGTGCACTCTTCTAGCAATGGACTCCCCCTGTTCGTTGAATAGCGGGCCTACGCTTCTTGAAATCCATTTTCCAATTTGATACTGTGAGCCCAAATCGAAGGCTATATAGCTTTCTTTGAATCAGTGTTTAGTATTAGGTTTTCAATTTTAGGGGTTCGCGATTCTTTGGAACTTGGCCAACCCGCGAACATGAGAGTCGCTTAGCAGCATCTGGCGTATAAAGAGATACACATTCTTTCTGAATATCTTCCTTATTGAGAATATAGGTAAGTATTATACGCTCATCCTAAGCTGTAAACTTGTAAACTTGTCCCTGGGATACAAAGTCGTTTTTCAAGAACTTCGGAGACAAACTCAACTAACTCGGATTAGCGCTTGTGCACTCTACTCTGAACGTCTATAGTGTGATCAAACTTGCCTATGCTCGTAGCAATGTCTTCCAGAAGAGCATGCAGTGAGATGATTTGACAAGTCGAGAGCCCTTTGAAATCTGAATACATGTAGATGGATGCATCGACATCATAACTACTTCGCTACTCGGCGATCTATAAACACAGGAAGACTCACGTAAATTACCAAATCTTGGCTGAGTCTTTCTCGTTCGTAAATCTTGCTACAAATGTGTCAACGAGCCAGTATGTACTAGCCGCAATACATCTTTGATGCGCCTCATGCTCTAGTACTATGTACACGAGTGTGCGGAAAGACCTACCCCTGATATCACTCAGATATCGTGAGTTCCATTCACAAAGGTTTCGCAATTGCATTTGTTTGGTGTACATAATTGCTGTCTTGAGCGCGACCCACGCATTTGCATAACCTTATCAAAAGAGTTGGAAAGAACATGTTTGACGTTGTCGAAAAAGATCCTCGTAGTTCCTGTCCGCTATAGCTTCGCACTTGTCTTCTATTAGGAGCGTCGTTCCCAACCTTCCATATGCCGCCACTGCTGCTTCTTCAACTATTTAGATCTCATAGAAAGCACTCCCAGGCCACATAGAGAGATAAAACATAACGTCCACGGCCATCTCCCTCCACCTCTCTCACAACAACCTTGCCACCAAAACTTCGTTTCTTGTTTTGTACCCTCGAGGAACACCTATTTGTTCATCCTTCGCCTCCCTTTCGTTTCTTTGCTCCATGTTGCTTCTTCTCTTCTCCCACATGCTCCGTTCAACTTTTGGACCTCAGAGATACTCTAGTCGTGGCTACACTCTCTCCAGCCATAGTTAACTACCAGCCAGAGAAAGTCCTGCGTCACAGCTAGAGATTTATTGTCATCACCGGTCCGGATTTCAAATCGATTGAAGAAACCACCTACTCGCCTCGTCGAACTTCCCATCCAGCGTCCAACTGAAACCCATCGATCTGCGGTGGCAAGAGGGAGGGTATCGTGGTTCTGTAATGGTTTTCTCAAAGGTAGGGATGGCCCCCCAGTGATCTGGATTTCCCCTTTGCCCCATGATGGAAAAGAGCTTGTCTGAGCAGGCGTCTGGTGGATTGGACCCGCAATGCTAGGTGCGTTACCCCCCTTCGTCGCATTGATGACCACTAACATATACTACATCTGAGGGTGCAAGGAGATTCAGTGAGGGCGGCCGGGGTTTTTGTATTGCACAGAACTTCCTCCCCCACCCTACTCAGTCAAGTGTGATTTTCACGCAGGCTGACCCAAAGGAATGGGTGCAGGTCGGTCCATGGTTCGTCCGCCAAATTCTACCTCAACACTTCGGCCAACCAAGTGTTCGATTTCCGGGTAAGGTTCTTTGGGTTGCTACTACCAGTGTTGAACTTGCTCTAACATTTCCTTTCTCTCGCTATTAGGTGCTCCACAATAACCGTTTCTCCCCGTCGAGCCGAAAGTTCTTAAGCGTTCGAATACGAGTTAGGTCACATTGGTAGTTGTGTCACGCAATGGGAGGCGAGATTTCGCGTTCAACAGTTCACTGCTGGTTATCTAGCGGTGTGCAAGTCAATCAAGGGGCTGAGCCTGTACAAGGATCGGTATGATGTACGCTTGCAGTACTGATAGGCGTGAACTGATGCAAAACTGTGTTCGTGAATTTTAGACAGGATTCATTTTGACAGGTGGGTCAGTGGGCGAATTACACAACCCTAGCGTGAAGCTATGTGGATATACCTGCCGCAACTGACTGCACATCATGGAGTAATCCCGTTTCAATATTTCCCCAGGACTAGGTTTTGGAAATTCGATAATGATTTATGATCGAGTGCCATTCAATTTTTAATTTGGTTGAATACTAATTTCATCAAATATTGCAGGTCAGCTTCACAGTTGCACGGATAGAGAATAGGAATCAGTGGACGTATTGTGTTGAGGTAGCAACAAGTACCCGATTGAGAGTATTAGCGGATAGAGTAGCAATTGTAGACTCGCTCTAGTCCTTTCATTTCCTGAATAGCAATCAAGCTTCAATATCTGATTATCCTGTATGCAAGTATTAGGCATGTATTTGTCGGAAGCATATGCAATTTCTTGCTTTGCTATCAGTATGATCCAATTTTCTGGAATTGGCTGTGACCTAAAGAAAAACCGCTAATCTTCTCAATCGGGTACTTGCTGCTACCTCAACACAATGCGTCCACTGATTCCTACTCTCTATCTGTGCAACTACGTCCATGGTATTACTCTTCCATCTGGGTTCGAAGATTGTGACTACGCAAAAGAATCCATCATCCATGACGCAGTCCTCGCAGGCCTTGAAAACACTTTCCCACCTTTGAAGTTGACCGTGATCTTGCACGGGCCATTTTGATGAGTGATAGTTGGATATAATTTCCTGTATATAACTTTGCTCTTACGGCGAGCTTGCGTACAAATTTGTCAGCATTCATTGTTAAAGAGACGTCCTAGAGCATGTGTGAAATCATGAACCTACCAACAAGCGTTTCGTTGAGGGTGAAATAATATTCTTCTCTTTTGTAATCGATACCACAACCGACGACATCCCCTATCCCAAAGGGATGTTTTGCGTCAAAAGCTTGGGCGTTCAAAGATTGGCTCTCGTAGATATATCCATTGTCTCCGTGGTAACCTGCTGTCCACACATTCCACCCCACAAAGTCTTCGGCCAGATCCGAATACTCGCCGCAGAAGCCGATGCCCACGATCGGTGGTTTTGAAGTATCTACTTGAGCATCATCTTTTGGATTCAGTTCTACATTAGAGATTGTCACCTCGAAGAAAAACGTCTCCGAGAAACGAGTGAAGAACTGTCTAGGGGGAAAGGGGTGGTCAGAACGGAGACTCGTCATGGCCGAGTGATGCTCTGGGACGGGTAGTTAGTAGACTGTCAGGAAATGTTCAACCAGCACTCACTGTTGAAGACAGCGACAAGTCCCCCCTCTTCTATCTGGAAGTAGTCTTCCAAATCAAGCTCTGGCTGCACCCACAATTTGGGTTTGATGAGTGATGTCATTGTTAGCCATGACTCATCCAAAGGAGGCACAGATGTAGGCACCCGGTCGAAAGCCTGATGGATGAAATGGTCAAGGTTCCAGCCGTCATCATCTAACTCAGCTGAAGATGTTGCTCTGAGATCCTTGAGCTTGTCCCATAGGTAAGATCCGTCGACTTCGGTCGCAATGCGCAACTCTTTAAAGCCAATCTTGACATCGGTTGGAACATTAGTTCCCTTTGGTATTTTGTCTGCACAGGCTCTGAGAAACTTGGATTTGACGATCCTTCGAGTGATAACGCCTAGCTCAAATGCTGACGCATGTCCAGGTTCATGTCGCTGGAATGGATTCAATCCATATCTGACGAAGCGTATTGCGAGGCTTTCTTCTTCACTTTCCTTTCCACGTCTAGAAAGACACGCTTCTAGCCCATTTGAACCCTCGCCTGGTAGTCTTTCTTTAAGTAACCCTGCGTCTCTATCCAGTAAGACATCGACCAGGTCTAGAATGTTTTCGTTGTTCTTGCATAATTTGATCGTCCTCCAGTATGCGGCAATCAATCCCTCCTTGCCCACCGTGTAGTCAGAGTCGGGGTTGTCGTTTTCACGTAGCAAAGCTTCAAGTGGTTCGAGATCACCCCTATCAATGGCCAGTTCAAGGCAGGAGACATCATTACCAGTGTTCAGCTTCGGGTCAGCTCCATGATCAAGCAGCAGCTGAACGATGGACGCCGAGCACCTTGTGCACCCAAGCGCCAAATGAAAGGGGGATTTTCCATCCTCTGTGTCTCTGAGATTTATGCATGACTGTCCCTTGTGTTCCAGCATAGACGTTACCATATTTGGACTGTGCTCTCGTACCGCCAGGTGCAAAGCGGTCCGGCCATCGTCCGTAGTAATTCTTGGATCCGCGCCGTGTTCGAGCAGGAACGTCACTATTTGCTCTTCTTTCCAGGCAGTAGCAAGATGGAGAGGGGTGTAATTGTCTTGTTTCCCGCGATTCGGGTTGGCGCCGGACCCGATCAACAATTTCGTAATCTCTAGATTGTCAACCCCAACATGCAGTGGAGTCCAGCCATCATAATCGCCCTTGTCAAGGTTTGGGTTCAGCTCGAGGAGTTTTGTGACAAGTTCCAATTTCCCAGTAAAGGCAGCCAGCCATGTTGCTGACTGTCCAAGTGAATTCAGCGCATCAACATTTGCACCTGCGTCGAGTAGAGCCTGTGCAACTCGTACGTCGTTAGAACGAACTGCCAAATGAAGCGGAACACTGCCCGCTCCATTACGTTCATCTATCAAAGCTCCAGCCTTTACAAGTGTTTGGACATTGTCAAGTTGCTGCTCTTGGACCGCGATGTGGAGGGGTCTGTTGTTACGTAGTTCGAAATTTGGATCCGCACCCGCCTCTAAAAGAATGCCAATGATCTCGGAAGACCTTTTCGCAGCTGCCTTATGTAGCAGCTTTCCCAGTGATGAAATTTGGTCCTCGGTCCTTGGCTGACCTGGTGCGTAGAGGGTGTGGAAAAGCTTTTCAAAAACGATAGGCGCGGAGGACTCTATAGCCCATTGTATCCCCGAGGCTTCTATATCGGCCTTGCCTTGGTGGTTGTGTGCGTCAAGAAGCAAATCGACCAACGATACATCATTGCGCTCGATTGCATAAAAGATGGGTGGCTTCATGTCATCATCCCGAACATCTACATCTGCGTTCCTTTTAAGGAGATACTTGATGGATTCCACATTGCCTTTTCGAGTGGCGTGGTGGAGAGGTGTTTGGCTGAAGATATCAGTTACATTAGGCCCTGCGCCAGCCTGAAGTAAAATCTCCATTACCTCAACAGCGCAGACCGAAAGGTGAAGTGGTGTTTCCATAGTACGGGAGCGAGCGCTTGTGTTGGCTCCACGAGCAAGGAGCAATTTTGCTATGCCAGCCTTGCCAGATCGAGCAGCTTTATGAAGTGGAGTTTCCCTGTCAACATCGGGTGCATCAACACTGGCCTCGCGATCAAGTAAGGTCCTGGCCATGTAGGTCCTGCCTTTTTCAGCTGCATAGTGCAAGGGAGTTCTCCGCTGGCCGTCTACTACATTGACAGAAGCCCCGCACCCTAGAAGTGTGCGTGCAATCTCTACATGGCCTTTCGAAGCCGCCATGCAGAGCGACTGCCCACCGAGGTATTCCTCATTGGGAGAAGCGCCAGCTTTTGCTAAGAGGTACTGAACAATCAGCAACTGTCCTGTTTCTGAAGCTGCTATGAGGACTCGACTATCGATATTGCTCCAGGTTGGTGATGTCAGTAATGATACGACAGAAATATGGCCTCGTCTTGCAGCAAGTTCTGCCGCCTCTTCAATGATGCCATTGTCTAATCCACTATCAGGACGAAGAAGGATCTTTGCAACGTCCGTACAGCCCATTTCGGCGGCGTAATGAAGCGCAGTCTTCCCCTCGCTTCGTGTATTTATTACTGGACCGAATTTACCGCTGTCATCCAGGGCAGCGACAAGCAGAGAGGTTGTGGCTGCGTCGCCGATCTCTGCCGCAATATGCAAAGGAGTACAGTCGTTGATGTCGGGTATATCAGCCAGCTCCTGGAGTGGCAAGTATTCGACTGCGGATGAACATGCCAGCGCAGCATAATGCAGGGCTGTTCTGCCCTGTTTGTCTTGGAGCGTACAATCTGCACCCCGTTCGACTAAAGTGTTTGCCGCGTTGATATGCCCCACCATAAGGGCGGTAATTAGTGGTGTTCTGTTCGAATTGTCGAGCTTGTTGATTAGACTTGAATGCCCGGTTCCTCCAGGCTCATTTCTATCACCGCTCTCGCCCAATAGAACAAGCATAACCCTGGTATGTCCGCCAGCTGCTGCACAGTGAAGCGGTGTCCTCCCATCTCCATCTGGCTCAAAAGGTTCTGAAAGCAGATTCAATAACACTCGAGCAGTTTGAAGGCTACCCATCAGAGCCGCCTTATGAAGCGGAAAGCACCTCGATATGTCTTTGTCTACGGATTGCAAAAGCTGAAGTACTAGCTCTGCGTCATCGTTGCAGATGGCGCATTCTAGTTGATAACTGAAATCGGATTCAAAGACCGCAACGTTTCGCTCCAAATACCCGTGTCGAACGCCGACCATGCTGAATTTGACGGTGGAAGAAGTTCCGAGGAGCTCCGATACAATTGATTCGAGTCCAACACTAGAAGCCATGTTAATTGCCAGCTGGTGCTCTGATGATGTGCCGCGCGATTTGGATCGTGCCTCAATGCCGTCTCGAGGGCCACTCACTGGTTCAGTGACGGCTGAACTAGAAGCCATTGTAGTGTCTATCTGCTGCTCAGTAGTGGCATTTTTGGAAGAATCTGTATCTCTTCCATGGCAAATTTGATAAAGCTGAAACCATCTCTGCCCCAATTCAGGAGTCAACAAGAAGTTGACTACCGAATCCTTCATAGCCTGGTCCGGGTCCTTGATGCGAAGAAAATGGGTGGGCCAAAATCGGCAAGCGTAATCAAGAAACCCTAAGGTTCCGCCTTCGCTTTTAATGTTCTCCTTCTTCCAAGAGACCTCTGAGACGTATAATATCCACTTGTTCGAGTACGCTTTGTCAATGACTGGCGAGGTATCGGGTGATTTCATGGTCGCGTTCTCTACCTCAGATTCCCCAGAGACACTTAGGGACTCGTCATCAGGGTGGGCCCGTAGATCTTTCAAGACAAGACGAAGGTAATGAAGACAAAGACGAGTGAGCCCGCGGTCATCTTCAAGGGCCAATCGCCTCTTCATTGAACTAGTTGCGAATATTCGTTTTGATTCTTCGCTAAAGATGCGTCCGCCATTGGCTCCTATGGATACTATAAAGCGTAAATGTCGTCTGAGATCGCGCTCAATATCCATGGACATCGCTGCCTGAACATCATCGATATCTGAATGATCTAGTGTCATGGCTGTGGCTGTAGCGAGCTCCTGAAACCGTAGTGGACGTATGGGCCACATCATCCACGAGATTGCCGATGCTACCCAATAGAAGACATCGATGTGATTTTGCCGAAGAGCTGCGATTTCCAGATCGAAGAACTCTTCTTCGCTTTTGGGGCTACCCTCGATTTTTCCTTCGATCCCTTCTGGGGTCGTTAGGGAAAAGGAGTCGAAAAGACGTACTAAATAACAATCCATTGCAGAAAATGATCCTTGAAATGATTTAGCTTTGGTCGTAATCATTTTCTTGATGACCATGGCATGTTCCCGTCGAAAAGCCGTGGAAACATAGCTCTGGTCGAAAAGGGTGGTTAATCGATCATCAATGAACTTCGACCAGTATTTCCTTTGCCTCATTTGAAGATCAATCCGATAGACCTTTGGAGAGAAAGAATGTTTGATGCTTTTGTGACTGCTCACGAGGAATGTGCATTTAGAACCAGATGAAACCAAAAGATTTCCCAGACTCTCGAACCATGATTGAAGAGTCCCAGGCCAATCATCGTAATCGAATACGATGACTAGGAATTCCAAACCTTTACTCCGCTGTAGTACGGCTTCAAGTAATCTCTGAACAGTGTCCAGGGACCATAGATCATGGCGACGGATCTCTGCTACCATAAACCAAACTGCATAAAACAATGATGGTCTTTGTGAGAATATTTTGTGAAGCACAGACACGTATGCACTGTACAATGTTAGGGCTTTCTCTCCCACAGGGAGAAGGTTGTCGATGACGATCGCTGGGCCTGTCTGGCTCATCTCTCCAGCAATCAGTTTCAAGATCGCCGATTTACCACATCCTCTAGGGCCAAGAACCTGGATGGAGGATTTCTGGGGAAGATTCCGAAAGGGAATATCGTCGAGAAGTGAGTTGTACATGGTTTTAAGAGTACCGATGTCCTCGAGACTATCCAGACATATATTTTCAAATATCAAACGGCAAGAGGGCGCGAGTATTTGCAAAATTTCAAAATAGGCTTCATGGAAATTGTGATTTGATTCGGAGTCGAAATGCCCAAAGATCGCTAAGACAGAATTAGTACCAAATTAGGACGTATAGGTGTGAACATACAGTAGTGTTGTGGGCCGGTAAGTACGAAGTGCGCATTCAGAGATTTCATTTGTTCCATATTGTTTATATCACAAGTTGCGATACTTCTGAAATTGGTGTGTCGCCACAAGACACAGGTTTCGTCGGTTCTGTTAAGTTTGCCTAGGTCACCGATGACCTACATATAATTAGCAATTATTGGTTCGAGATCCACATTGAAACCCCTCAGTTCTTACTGGCTCAGGCCAACCAATTCCATCGCTCTCAATGAAGCTTGTCGTTGCATATTTGGCAACATATCTGTGGAACGCATGAGAGATTTGGGATACCGAGGTCACTAATCCAGCGAGAACTTTGGAGAGACGCCCATGCAGTGTGGCATCGGATGCCTTGATCACATCAAGCAAAGTCTGTTCCCATCCTCGCTGATTATCTGGATGATGAGGAGTCACAAAGAACACCTCAACTAGATTTAGTATGACGGAAATAATTTGGGAATGTAAAGTTTTACTCACCAGTTTAGACACACTCAGCCCTATGCGATAGTACTTTGGAGTTTGGTTGGCGGCGATAATGGCCTAAAGCACATTTAGAAAAGAAACCAGAATCACATCCTCTGAAAAATGAGCATTTTCTTTACCTGTTTAACAACAATGCCCCCAAGACCGTAGCCAGCAAGGACAATCCTGCTAAGATCTGCATTGTCGGACAGTATTCTTTCTAGAAGATCCAGAGCCTCCTTCTCGATAGATATCTGCGAAGGAGGGTCCATAATAGCGCTGGCCGCAGAGAGTGTATCCCAATCATCCGTAGCTTCCTCTGGCGAATCACCTTCGATTGCGATCGCTACATCGTTGTGGACCTCGACAACTTCAACGCTCTTTTCACTTCTATCATTTGCTGGAACTTTTCCCTTCAAGGTTTGCGTAGTGTCCTGATCAAGGACTCCCGCGGCTGTGAACCCAATACCAAAGACTGAGTACGGCACGACTCGCGCCTGTGGAAGGAGATGGTACAACATATCAGGTATATTGAAAACTGTCTTTTCCTGATCTGACAACTTCGAGGAGCTGGCAGCTCCCGGGAAGCCTACTAAGTATATGCTGATCCAGTAAGTAATAGCCAGAGCTTCGAGAAGACGTTGATTTTGCCATACGTATAATCCCATTCCTCTCTCTTTTCATCCTCCTCCATTGCAGCTAGCATGTGCATTCCAGAGCTTGCGAGGCTAGGAGAAAAGCCAACGATAAGTGGCAATGTTGTGTCTAAGTCGCGCCATGTCAATGATAGCATGAGGCGTTTGATATCTAGGCTACGTGACCGCCTGGTCAGCTTCCCAGCGCTTCTGAATGCACCTGGAAGCAGCTCGACGCATTTGGTAACCCGTACTCGCAGGCTGCAATCTGACTTCAGCTTTCGTTTCGGATGTTGCACCAACTGCCTGGTGTCCTACCTGTGACCGAGTAAAAGGGGCGGACCGGGCCTCCCTCGCCTACCCTGGCGTCAATATGTAGTTCCTGTTAATTTACCACCAAGCAATGGGAACATCATCTGCACCCCCAAACCCCCGCATTCACGTTAACGCACGGACGCTCAGCTACCACGACGATAAGTGGCGAACCAAGGAAACAACTGCATTCTATGTTGAAGACATGACTTTAGTATCTGTGCTCACAAATGATTACACTAATTCGACAGGTCCTCCACAGACGCAGTCAAGGCTGTGGCTCCAAGCACAGCCGCCATTTTGTCCAGCCTCTGGGCATTCAAATTGTTTTCGTCAACCGCTTCTGCCAATTTGTCTTCCAGGAATCCTGCCAATGTTGCCGGCCTGATATAATGGTGTGCCTTGCCTGGCTTGAAGATGATTGGGTCATTTGCAGGCGAGAAACCTAATATGTCCCGGAAACCCTTGACGAGGTCGTAGAGAAAGTGAGCTTCCGCATCAACCTTGACTCTGGCAGTGAAGCATCTGGACTCGCTCGTCCGCCTCACTAACACAGCGGCTCTTAAGTCAGTCACGAGCCCTGTCTGTGCTGTCTCGTTCTCTGTTACAGTCAGGCGAACACAGTTCGCAGGCCCATAATCCCGAACGCGGGTATCCAGAAAGATGGAACCAGTCAGACTCGCTCGATCAGTTTTTCTATAGCTTGTCTTACGCTCCCAGGTCTTCTTGCTGTTCGCCCCCACGTAGGTCGTACCAGCGTTCGCAGCTACCTCAGCTCCTTTGGTACCCTCAATATCAATTTCCGTCGTTTCCCCAAGCGTAAAATCACCATTTGGCCAGAGGCATATAGGGATGGGGTCCTCGTTCTCGTCCTTCTCCTCGTCTTGGAATAGAATCGTAATAGTTGCCTTCTGAAGCCTCCTTTTTCGATTGATTCCATGGAAGCGGAAGCCAAAGACAATCAAGCTAGACGGAATACCGTCTTCAGTTTCAGTCCCATGTACGATGCGGTCAATTCGGGCTTGCACCAACAAGCCTTGACAAATATCATCGACAATGCCCGGGCGCTGTATTTCTCGCCCTTTATTTCTTGAATGATAACCACGGTCCTCAATGCTGGTGTTGAGCTGTATATGTACAGCGTATTCATCGGAAGAGATCGCGGGTAGAGCCATTGAACTGATAGAACAAAAGTCTTGATTTAAGTTGAAGAATATTCTGTACTCAGATTGCCGAGTGTTCAACTACAGATGCACCACCTTTATAATCGATATGCGACAGCCTAGATAGGAAGTCATCTAAAAAACGATGATGCCTTTTGTCCTTCCTGTGCATGCGCAACGCTGCCATTGGAACTCGTATGTTGCACCGAATTCGGTGGCGGGCTCAGCGTTATCCATTTGCGGACGTCAGCTCGGTTCTTTTCACCTGCCTTGTCCCGGCAGATGTAGTCGAGATAATTTTAAGAGAGCTCTCTTACAGATTTTCAGCTAGGCTGAATGAGGTAATCCCGGCATGTGTTTGTAATATGTAAACCAGGCTGAGCACGCTTCCTTGTTGGTTTCTCTATACTTGTCTTAGCTAACCTCTCCAGTCGATACACCAAAGCTATCAATCGAACATCTTTCTATTGACTCAAGGGCGAATTATCCATCTAACCTGCTCGAAACCCATTCGTGGCGAGCAGGCGCAAGCATGTCTCAGTCAAAGGGTAACCGCCCTTTGCGTGACCAAGATAAACTGTCGCATTTGCAAAACAAAAGTCAACTAGACTCGGGATTCGATGAAGACCAAAAGAAACTATTCTTGGACCTCATGGCGGGAAGGCCTGTTGATATGGATGGCTATAGCGACGAGGTACTAGCTGCCGAGGACTATGAAGGGAGAAACCTCTTGTATCGAATTATATTTCAACTGAAGAGGAAGAAGAAGGAGAAAAACGACATCGTCTCTCCAAGCATACTCGCCCTTGTCGATCGAATAGTAACCATCGAACCTGAAATTCTCACTCAGGACATCGGAAACGGCACGTTACTTACCGAAGCTGCAGATTCCAGGCCTGATATCTTTTTCCGACTGCTCGATCTCCTATTACCTGATCAACTGCGTACTTGTCTAGATATATCCGGTAATGAGTGCGACCAAAACTGCTCCTTGGCACCTTTTCGTGAGCACGTCCTCATCCAAAAATATCATCGGCACAGGATCAGCCCATCGTCTGAGCTGGATGATAAGAAAGTCAATGATCAGGATGAAATGGCAAAGGTTACAGAGATTGCAAATGACAACGAAGCTGCATGTCTACATTATGAGATCGATATGGACAAGGTCAAAAAAATGGACTCAAGGTTGAGAACAGTAATCCTAGGGTCTCCAGAGAAGCTGCGCGACTGTCTACGTTTGCTCATACGGGCAGACAATCTTGACCCTGGGTCAAATGTGACCGCTCCTCCGGTGATTCCTTTGCAGAGTTTCAAGCGATTTCTCCCATTGTGCGCCTCGACTACTTTCGAGAGTGCAGTATCAGAAGGGTTAAGCCCACTTCAACTCGCAGTTCAACTGTTCAGAGAATCCAAAGTTGATTACACCCATCTGTTTCTGATTGTTGAATCATTGGTGGAGATATCACCTACCTCAATATACTTCAGTGCTGGAGATAATGCCGGAAGGGATAAGGGAAAAACAGCCTATCGTATGCTGGGGGAGCTAGGCCTGAAGACCGGTGTGAACGAACCTGTCGAAAGGAAGAATTCTCGCCTGAAAGCAGTGGAACTACTAAAGGAGACTTGTATTGGTCTTCCGCAGGAAGACTTGGACAAGAAACTCAAATATCTCTACTCAGATAATGAAGAAGGTTGTAAGTATAACCTTGCCCACAGCCATGTCAAGTTGACAATATATGTATAATGATGCGCTGTTCCTAACTACGCATAGCAAAGCGAATAGGTCTCAACTTGCTCAGTGAGACTGAAAGGATTGACAAAGACTACGTATCAAAAGTGAGGAATAGATCGAAAATGCATTTCGAGACCATCCTGGCTTCGGTACGGCTACCATACTGGAATCCACAACATCGAACAACTTTTCCGCTCAGTATTTTCGAGTACCAAGCGGGGGAAATTACTAATACCTTAGCTCCAGCTGTTGACCCATACGTTGGAATCTTTGACTGGTTAAGAAGCCGAGGTGTGGGGAAGATCTTCACGGTGGAAGTCGACGATATGGGCACGGAACCACACAGCAATGCTGCGATACGGGACTGTCTCAGGCCTGAGGTGTCGAAAGGATCATACAAAGACTTGAACATTGAGGTTTTCAATTGGAAGAAACATGATATCTGCAGCCACACCGTGCTTGCCGCCGCTCCAAACGCGAGGGAAGTCTACCTGTATTCTTCTGGGAATACAGCCGTGCTCCGGGGTTGGGCACATAGTTCGGATTTCGGGCAGATGAAAAACGTACGCACTTCCAAACCCCTTAACATAGCCGCCATGGCTAACGCATCACAGCTTGAAAAGATATACATCAAAATATACGCTACAGTATGTCTTCCCATCCTACATTCCATAGGCTCATACTGATTACGAATTTCCCTCCAGAATGCAAGTGACTTGAAAGATTGCGAGGACTTTAAAGATGACTTCAAATGCGCTCTTGCAAGAAATTGCATGCGGCTCAAAAAGGATGACATTGAGATAAGCCTTCCCGACCCACAATCCAGCCAGGATGGGGGCGGCATGAATGAGAGTAGAGCCGAAAATGACCCCATTGACGACGATGACGGCTTCCTTGTCCAAAACTCGTTAGTCTCCTTCAACCTCTGTCCGAACCTGCCTAGTAACAACATTTGACAGATTGAGTCCCGATGATTGGATTAATGGGCTGGCTCATTTCAAACAATTCGTACAGGACATGGCCAACAAGATAACAGACGAGAAAAAGCGACCAACCGTTCGAGTGGCAATTTTGGATGACGGGGTCTCGTTGCGCAGCTTGGCAGGAAATGATGAGACTGGAAAGTCCTTCCGAGGCGATAAGGTGGAGTATTGGGTAGGTTCTTGTAGCCATGGCACACAAATGATGCAATGCATCCGGAAGTTATGTCCAATGGCCCAGCTGTACATTGGCCGGCTCGACGATTCTCGGCAGGCCGAGTATCAGAAATTTACGACTGATTCGTGTGCAAGAGTAAGTCTACCCTGAGATTACTTTACCCGTTTAGTAACATTTGTCCTCCCGTAGGCACTTGAATGGGCGGGAAGGGAAGCAGACATTATCTCAATGAGCTGGTCATTCAAGAAGAAGGGAGAACGCAGAGATGAAGGCGAAGACAAGTTCAATGGGCTACTGAAGACAATATCCGAAGGCAGAGATGCTGTAATTTTCGCATCTCTTCCCGATAAGGGAGCTAACGCCAACATTCTGGAGTATCTGCCTGTTGGACATGAGAAGAGTGGCGTGATCAAGATTGGCTCAACCAACAGATTTGGCGCCGAAGCACCGGAAAATATTCTTGCGAAAAGGGACTTTCTTCTGCCCGGCGAGGAGATCGAAATCTCGCCAGGAGAAAAAGAATATGGAAGCTCATACGCTACAGCCTTTGCTGCAGGTCTGGCGGCTTTGATGCTCTACTGCCTCAAGGTTCATCAAGCTCTCGAGGAAGATTATAATGATCGCAAGAGCCCGCTAGCCTTAAATCTTAGCAATGAAGACCTTGTGAAACGGGTGAAAGAGGCCAGGACTTTGGAGGGAATGAAGAGCATATTAAAGGTTCTGAGCGTAAAATCAGCTACCGCCCAAATTCCGGACAAGGGCTTTTTCCTCAGACCTTCTGTTGTCCTTGGGAAAAGGTTTGGCGATAACGATGGGCAGCAGATTTCTAAATTGCGGGAAATATGTTCAAAGATTCTGCCTCTGGGGGAGAACATTGCGTAATTGCAGGTTCCAACAGAAGAGTCATGGCAAATGTAGACCTCTCAACCAATCTTATGACGACCAATCTGTTCTGGATCGTTAAATTGAACACATTCGCACATGACATCTAAATATAGACGTTCGGAAGCCCAAAATATGCCTACCACAAAGATAAGAAAGAGATGGTATTATGCTTCGAAGCGCGTTCAATATGTCTATTCTCAGAGCGGTAATCCGTTGTAGAATCATTGGATAGAAGCGCGCGTCAGTCTCGCCCAGTGCGCCAAAAGCAAACAATAACATCTGCTGTTATGTGCCAATCTGTCCTTAGTTTTATCACAGTGCAAATAGTGTATCAGCATGAAGCTATTCGGAGGCCAGGTATGTAGGCGTGAGCACTACAAGCCAGGATAAACTTCATGACAACCCTGTAGAGTCTCATCAAAATTGGCAAAGCGAATGAACAATGACAATAAAAATGCACTCCACAGTGCATCCCCCTCTCAGTGAATTATGTGCGCAAATCACTCAAAATCAATTGAAGGGAACATTTTCACCCCAAGTTACTACTTTGCACATGGACATTGGCACCTAGCCATTTAATCACCAGCATACCGGCGATTCAACAATGGAATGTGAATCAACTTTTTGCTCATATAATGACACTTAGTTCAATAGTTACCAATCCTAGACAACTGGGTCTTCTACATCCCGAACCCAATTGTGCAACTCTTTGATTTGAACAACTTCGTTTAGGCAATCTACGAGTCAAGATGCCTGCACCCAATATCGAAGCTCAAGTCAATAGCAGTACCGGAGCAATCAGTACTCACGAAGAACATGTGGATGCAGAACGCTTGGTGGAAGACTTGCGGTCCATCAAGCGAGTGCTCACAAGGATTGCCATGGACTTGCTTCAAAAGCGTGAGCCGTCCACTCGCCCACCATACGCGCTTCTCAATGAGGAACTTTTTCAACAGATCAGGGCGGCATGCAGATTCGATCTTCAGAGGAAGTTTTTGAGGCTTCGACAAATAGCAGATGGGCTAAATCAAGGCATTGTGCCCAATAAGTGGAAACTGAAGTTGGATTATTTAATAGCCGTTGCAAAGCAGAAGCAACCGGACCTCGACCCCGTGCACGGCTGCATCCAGTTGTTTGAAAAAGATCTTGAGGGGATCGAGACGACTGTATCCAAGGTTAGGAAAGAATTGCGGGAATCGAGACGAGTGTGTCCAAGCTGAAGGAGGAAATGAGATGGCTTAAAGAAAGGGTGGAAGGCTACATGATGGAGTCCGAAGATGCTGACAAGCAAATTGCAGAGCAGAGGAAGGTTTAGACTGGTCTATCGATGAACTAGATCAAATGGGAAATTACACCTAGCTACTTTCTCTGTGTCTAGAACGATCCTAAAAGAAGACAATCCACTGAATCGTGGCTCAGCTCTTCATTATGCGAAAGAATTGGGGCCTTCATTATATTTCCAGCTTGGTAGCTTTTCGACATTAACGAGTAGCCGCAAATGCAATTCAGTCATCCATAGGCCTCTATGGAATTTATTCCACCTAGGCCTTGTCACACCTCTCAATTTGTTTCTCAAAATTGTCCTTCGTTAGCTGCTGCTGAGATATCGATAGGCAGCAGGTTGCCCAACCCAATTGGTGCACTTTACCTAATTTGGGGCTGATGTCAAAAGACTTACATCAAGATAGGAGATAGAGAACACGACGAAATGGGATGCTCTTGGGGTTCTTTGGTTGAGAGTGAGTACTCTGCAAGATTTCTCATTTCTTCATTTGATATGAATAGTCAACTACCCATGATACTCACCGGACCTTAAGCTCTCGAACACATGTAGTAGGCTTTGAAAGGGATAGTTCATACTATCTATCGAGATTAGATATAATTGCAGAGTTCCTAGAAGGCTGTGATTGGATTTGTAAACCTTCGAAAAAAGGGACAGCTTGTTATTGTAGATACGATAGTTTGACAGCTCATTCACAGTGTGCTGCGCTGCCTTTAAGCTATTAAGAAAACACGCAAACATTAAACAAGTATGAGTCTTGCTTTTTGAGTGATTAGAACCTGAAAATATTGAATATAATTCATTTTACATGATGCTAGGGTAGTTGTAAAAGATGGAAGGCAGATGTTGGTGGGTTGGCTTGTGTGTTCGGCGAACGCCTAGGATTGTACCTGATCTGGATCCGATTCGAAGGTCTTTACCAACCGTCTGCCTCCGATAGCTCACGCAGTATCTCGAATGTCACAAAACTGTCTACCGAGTCAATATCCAAATTTCGCGATTTGAAGGTTGCGTCCTTCGTCACGATTGTAGATAGGCGGGCAGTAAGTCTGTTTATAGAGTTGCAAATGATGATTGGCGTAGGGAGAAGTAAAACAAGTAGAATGTGATCAAATTCTAACTAGTAGTGCCATACCCATACTATAATATATATAAACTTTAGGGTCACTGGAAAGCCCTAAGGACATCAATACTGTTGCGTATAGACGCCTCTGTAGTAGGGAGCATCACAGGCTCGACCCGCAATCGGTAAATAAGTAGGAAAGGTAGATGTTTCTTTCTGTCGATAGGCCTCTGTAGGTAGGCGGATGATGCCTCAATCTCTCTCAGCAGCCCTGATCGATCGATCTATGCCCTGCCTAGTGCCCTTGCCCATACACGTGATTCCCGAATAGCCTCACCTATCCTGCTACACCACAATACTGATGATGTTGGCAAAATCGGCTTACATAGTTGCAGGCTTGCGGGAATTGTTATAGAAGCGCAAATGTCGTGTAAGAGAGATGAGACCGTTGAAGCGAATCATTTTCCACGATACTGTAGTCAACCAGGAATCAATCTTTCGTATGTTCGACAGCTGACACGCCAATGCCATGCACCCAGAACAACTTCTTGATGTAACCATCCTTGTCAGCCCTAAATTCTGCTTTCCAAAAATCTGGACCCTGGCCCACCCAGCGTCCTCGCTTCACCAACTCATTCCGAGTCTGGATCCAGGTGAAAACATCATCTTCATAATGATTCAAGATAAATCTCTCCGAGTCCAGACCTTGAAACGCCCAGTACAGTTTACCGCTGTCTTCCGTGACGACGATCTTGAAGACATGCGCAGGATCCCAATAGGTTCCAACATACTCTTTTAGATCTCTAGGCGAAGTGTCGTTCTTTTTCTCTCTGAATAGTTCTTCAGTGGTAGTTGCGTACCACTTCTCCGTGGTTGCTCGGCTCGTCTCTGTGGCTTTGACGTAGTCGTTACGCTGATCCTTTGGTACATCTAGTATGGCTTCCAGGACAAGTTGTCCAACCCAATCAGGAACGTCGTTAAGAGCGAGTGAGTTTGTGAGGACGACGATCGCTGTTTCGGTTTCTGGAACTAGCATTACAGCTGTTAAAGCGCCTGGAAGACTGCCCTGATGGTAGAGCACAAGCTGGGAGGGGATTCCTTTGCCAACAACAGGCATACCATCTAGCATGAGCGGCGGGTTGCAGCCTATGTCGCCCTTTGTTGCGGGAAGTTGGACCCGAGCCCAGCCGTATCCATACGAGGTTTCCGTCCTCGTCGGCGGGTTTACTGGGACTTTGGCCGACATTAGGTGTCGGACTTGCTTCAACGGCGAGCCCTCAGTTGCTGTATTCCCGGTTTTGAACTGGTCATTGAACGCCACTAAGAACGATCTGTATAACTTGAGAAGGTCATTGACAGAGCTTCGTAATCCCCCACTCGGGCCTCCGAAAAGATCCTTCCCAGCCTGAACAGGTCCGATGGGATATGGCGTTCCATCGTCCAAGAACGTATGAGCGACAGCTACGTTGTCGACTCCCGCGGCAGGTGGCTTTGTCAAAGTACGCTTCAAGCCCAATGGGTCCAAGATCTCGGAATGCAGCAAGTCAGACCAGTAAGAGCCTGTCAATTTCGATATGATGTGGCCAGCGATTTCATAGCCCAGGTTGTTATAGCTGAATTGGCCGCGAAATGGAAGTAATGCCTCTTGGTGACTGAGATACTTGAGGCTGTCTTCTGCTGAGATCAAGACATTGTTGTTTGTACTTATGTAGAGGTTGTCGGCCCATGCCATGCCCGTACGATGAGAGAGCAGATCGGCGACAGTTGTCTGGGTATGCAGCACGTCTTCTTTCGTGCGAAACTCCGGCAACACATCCATCACCAATGCATCCCACTGGACCTTGTTTTCTTCTACAAGTAGACCGATGGTAGCGGATGTGAGAGCTTTCATCAAAGAACAACACGCGAAGATGGTATCTGCATCCGGTGGCAGCTTCTTCTCGATGTCTCGAAACCCGAAGTTGGCTTGGTATACTGGCTCCCCTTTGTGAAGTACTCCAAGAGCAAGCCCAGCGGCACCTCCGATCTTCATGATCTTCTCAATGTCTGGAGTGACAATAGTGAGGCGGTCGCGTACAGAAGACATGATTGCACTGGAGTTCGGGGCAGTAAACGTTGTCAGTTTGTAAAGTACTGGAACATGAGTTTCTCACAGGGCTGTGGTCGGCTCGTCGGCACAGATTTGCGTGGCCACAGGATGGTGAGAGTGAGCAGGAAAAGCGCAAGGAGTAGCAATTCATTCGAAGAGCACATAAACGGGTATGAGGAAGGCTGAATTACGGCCGTGGCGCGGAGGAAAGAGAGGCTACAGTGGAGAGGAAAAGTCGGATCGCTCCTCCAGTGAGCTTATCGTTAACACTGTAGGGCTTGGCATGCTGTCACACAAATCACAGCACAGAGAGAGGTCAGAGCGAGACCAGAGAGGCGCCAGACAAAGGTCAGAGAAAGGTCAGAGCGAGGTCAGAGCGAGACCTACATGCTGGAGCTGATATGTAGAGTTGCAACAAATCCACAGCAGTACACGCGGCGAGCACTAAAAGGCAAGCAGGCAAGCAGGCAGAACCATATACAACCAAATGAGCGCCCTCAAAACTAAGCAGACCTAGGGACGAGTATGCACATTGATAAGAAGCATCTATCCATCTATTGCAGGTCGTGCCTGTGATGCTCCCCACTTTGAGGCGTCTATACGATACACTACATAAGCCAGTCGCTGGCGTGAGGCAGCTCAGTCTGTCCAAATCCAAATTTGTTTCGATACTTTCATGGATGAAAGTGTCTGGCGAGATGTTTCGGATAGATTAAATTTAAAAGTGGAATCCGAAAATTTCACCCACGGTAATTGCACAAATCTATGCAGATGGAACGATGCTGTGCCTCTGGCATCCAGGGCTGTGCTTGGTTGGATGCTAGCTCCAAGAAGACTGCAGGAAGAACGGCCACCACATGATCGGTGAGGCGCCTATCAACGTCAACGTGAAGCTGTGCCGCATTTTGTTCAGCTTGTGAAAAACAGCAAAACTCGTCAGGCACCCACGAAAACTGTCGAACTCCAAACTCAAGACTTCCCCTCTTTTATCAATCTTTTAAGTCACGCACAAGGCATTCCCCAACTGAAAAATGGGAATACAACTCATCGACTACAACGATGCTGGCAACATACTGAAAAACCGTCGATTGCACCGACGACTCGCTAGATGGAGTTTTAAAAGACTCCGCAGTATCTGGCATGCCTTTGCGTACCCCCTGTACAAGCCGCTTAAGTTGCGCAGTCACAGAAGATGTTCTCGATCACAAAGTAGACTACTAATGTTGCCTGCTGAGATCCGGTTCATCATTTGGGACTACGTAATGGCTAGTGGGCCCATAGTATTGTATTGATCGCAGAAGAGGGTTACTTATAACTTAATGCCAGAAAATAGCCCAGAGAGCGGGATAGACATTACGCCACAGGCGATCCGAAAGGCAGTTGAGGGCAGGGTTCATAAATCAAACAAGGTGCATAAAATATCGTTGCTTGCTGTACTCCAGACATGCCAAATGATGTAAGTCGGCTCGATGAAGTTGCTTGACGATCCGCGCATGCTGACTACTGCCACGTAGATATTTAGAGACATCACGTCTTCTATATCAGGCAAACACTTTCGTTTCCCTGCAGAATTCAATACCTATCGACTTTTGCAATTTGGCTCTTCCTGCTCACTTGTCGCTTATAACTTCTTTACATGTCCACTTCCAATTCCGCGAATTTGTCTATATTTGGGATACATGCCCAGGCCGACAAGATCCAGACCCATACAACGAAAGCACATTTCATCTAGTCTGCAGACAGATCAGCCAATCTATGCCTAACTTGCGAGCACTCTCAATCTTCCTACAAGGACCATTAGTGCAACCCAAGACGTACGACTATATCTCGTCGTGCTTGACGAGTATGCGGGATGGGCTCAAAGATTTATATTTCATGGCTGTCAGATTTCCACACCTAGCCCTCGAGGAATTGGTTGCGGCCGTATCCGGGTTGTACGAAGACGACCTAAGAAGAACATATCAGCGGCTTGATTCGATGAGAGATCGTTTTCATGTCCTGCAACCATGTGTTGGGAATGATCGGCAACAATGGGAGATAGCAGATCTGGATACCGGGAGAGAGAAAGGTTGGAGGTTGGGTACCATGTACCGGATTAGTAATCTCGGTTTGGACAGCGTCGAGATGAGGAACTATGCTATTTTTACAGAAGCAGAAGCTTTCGATGAACACATAGAGAAACATGAGCCATAGACGTTTTAGTCTTTTGATTTGACTTGGTATTGAAATACGACGATTGTGTGAGATGACATCAGTACCACGAGAACAATATAGTCGAGTCTTTCGTCGGCGCACAACCTCATTAATCATGCTTGTTCTTACCCTCTTCATACTATTACAATTCCATCCTATCTTATTTCCGTGTAGTGACGGCTCAACTTGCATACTTAAAAGAGAAAGAGAGGTTTTTGATTTCGATGGTCCGTGCACAGCTTAGGTAGCAGGAGTTCTTAGTAGGCCAGCTTGCTCTTCTCTGTGATCATAAATAATGTTGACAATGGTTCTGGTTGGGTCATTCCTGGTAAAATGTATTCGATGGGCCCGAGTACCAACTTATAAATTTATTTCTGCCTATTGTGCCCTAAACCAATCGATGAAAGATGGTTATCGCTTTGGAGATGATCGAAAGGGAGGATGGGATATCCCGCTATGGACAATACAAGTAATCCGCTTTTATCATGTAGTCCTGGAACAACTTCATATTCTGTTACCATATCAATATGCTTTACTCGTGACTCCTATAGCCAAAGGAGTTGCGGAAATTTCTTCAATTCCCATTTGGTAGAGTTGGATCCGCGGTGCGCGAGGTGGCTATTCTGTGGGTATTGAGCCAACGTGGCGGAGCAACATTTTGAGAAAGCCCCAACGGATGGGACCGTGCAACATTTCCATTGAGTAGCTCAACAAGTAGTCTCATAGTAACGGTTACCAAAATTCAGCTATATATTGGATAGATTCCTGCCGTTGACATTTTGATTTCTCTTATCCTTACTACACGCAGGACTTGCCATTTTAACTAGTAACAGTTGAACATATCGACGACGTTACTTCTACGATGAAATGGTCATCAATTGCCGCTGAGGTGCGGGCCATGATCCTTGGCGCACTGATCAAGGAACAAAACATCGCTCACTGTGCGGCTGTGTGTCGGGAATGGCAAGCGCATATCGAGAAACAGACGTTCCATTCACTTACACTTACTGTCGAAGACGTTCCGGAATTAAAGAAAATTTCACCCCGAAGCCTAGCTCACATTAGACATATTTGGTTCTGCATCAAGCTTCTGGAATGCCACTTCCCAGATGGCGACAGCTATGAGACGGAAGAGATGATGGAATATAACCGGAAGACCGTTCAAGTTGGTGTCGAATCGATATTCGGCGCTCTTCTCAAACGTCCTATTGATGGAGATTTGAAGCTGGACCTCAGTGTCTACTCTCCTTCCGATTCCCAACATCATTTGAAATACGTACGTTTTGAGCCTGCCGGTTTCCCAAACATCAGCACCATCTCCCAAGAACTGTCCAGGCCTTCTGGACCGCAACCTGACTCCTGTCGAGTTGGAAATTCTCCGGTCATCTCAATCGAATCCGTTGACCAAATCTTCCCCGATATTTCATTTTCAGATAACGACCATTTCTGGGCTAGAACACAGGTCCCTTGTGTTACTCATCTGTCGCTGCGGCGGCAGACACGTCGACGATGGGATCCTGTTGCGGTTAGTCAACTCATTGCCCGGCTTCCGAACCTACAAAATGTCTGCTTTGAGACATGGAGAGAATGGAGTCGATGGTTACAGCACTGTCCAGACATCCGTAAGTGTTTCATCGTTATAATAGTATCACCCTGCTGAGAGACAGTTGCTGATTCTTTTCCTCTACAGGACTGGAAAGACTATTCAAATCGCTCATCTCCGCCGACTTGAAGAGAGTGTCTATTTTCGAAGACCTGAATGAGACATATGTCTCTCCTGGTACAGCCTATATCTCAGCATCTCCCGACGCACAAGTCATTCGAACAGCAAATACCCGAGTCATCGGTGCACTTGCCAAAGCCAGCCTTACGCTTGAGCAGTTTTCTGCAGCTTTCATGGTTGATGCAGACCGGTTCTGGGATGCATGCCGACCAGACTGGACGTGGCGACGACTCTCATCGCTCTCGCTCACATCCCGTGACCTGGTGCCAGACGCTTCGCCAAAGCGTATCAACGACCTGCTGCATTCAGCAGCACAGGCAGCTAAGAGAATGCCAAAGCTTCAAACAATGGAAATGTGGAACGGATCACCAGGGTACGCTTCTGTATTCAGGTACAGAAGCGTCAAGGCTAGAAGACCCTCTGACATTACCTGGCGAGGTAGTTGGGAGCTGACTTTGGAAGTCAGAGTGGTGAAGGCATGGGGAACGATTTCTGTGAATGATAATATCCAGGTTGTCAACGAGATGATACCATGTTCGCAATTTATTCGATCGCATGGGGATGTCATTCGGGTTCTGCAGCTTGAACATCCTGTAGCTTGCTCGGCGTGGATTCTTCAAGGTGCTGCTCCTAGTTGTTAGTGGCACAAATAGTCTGCGGATTACTGCCCTCAAAGCAGTTCATTTGCGCGCATTGTTTGGACGATTGAGACGGTATAACATATTGTTAATGTGCCTAGTGTCCATCTGTCTTTATTTGTATGGCAAAATCACTTAGAAATTGGTAATTCACTTGGAAATTGATAGTTCACTTGGCATCTTCCTCTTTTACTAGCAAACTCCGTGCGCCACTATGTCTTTCCAATGTCCCTCTACGTAGTGTCGCTAGCAGATTTCGAGGCCTTTCACTGATCTTCACATCATTGTCATCTCTTACTGACTCATGTTGAGTGAACCGTCGGCGATAGTGTTCCATGCCAATAGCAACTTCAGCTCACACTGTTCATACGCGAATTCCATTATAAAATAGACTAAAAACGACGTATTATCATTAGTCAAGGTTCAACGAAAGGCCTGAATTCATACCAAAAACGTGCAAGGTAAATGAGGTGGGCTAGAAGCGCCGTGTGAATTAGGGCGGGCGAGAAATTTGAAAGGATGAAGACAAATGTACTTTAGCGATAACGAAATTAAGAGAGAGTACGGTAGGATGTCTAGGAACAGTAAAAGCCTGAAGAATAATTGGCCAATGCTTTAAGTCTGCGTTATATATAAGGTTATTGAAGGAGTGACGTTGGGATAATAGCAGCCCTTGCATTCGGCATTGCAGCCCTCTGCCTTCACTGTATAGCAATCAAAAGCGGGATCGGGGGTGACATAACAGAATTTGGGTTGGCAATAGCATGTTCCATCCTTCTTTTTGCATTCATTCATAGGGGTTGCTCCATCGGAAGGTTTTGGTGTTCCTTGGGACTGAACGCTGTTTTAAGGAGTCGGCCTAAAGGATGATTGTGAAGCTGATATGAGCCCAGAGGATGAGTCTGACGACGTAGATGGATCAGCCTTCTCTCCAAAACAAGCGAGATATTCATTTTCGTCGATCTCATTGTCCGTGGACTCCAAGAGGCTCAGAACACACCAATAGACTCTTTTTTGCCGGATGTCATTTGGTAATCGAAATTCCAACCACCTCCTATTTTCTCTGGGCAACCGTTGAATTTGAGGCGATAGGCTCTCTCTTTTAGAAAGCGAGAAGCTTCAAGACTGGTCAGCATCGTCGACGCATCTTGAAAGAAATTCTAGTCCTACCAATTGCAAAGTATGCTGTTCACAGGTGAGGTAAGTCAATGTTCATCGAATTATCCTTAGTTTCCTGGGAGCTAGCTTACTGTACGGAATCTAATGTATGTCAATCTATTTTTCGCAAATCATGAAGTTGTGACCTTACCAGCATTATTCCATCCCATCTTGTCCTTCAGCTTCCACACATTCTTCCAGCCATAGCCCTTTACGTTATCGATGGGTTGATCAACGGTCTTCCACCGATTTGGATACTTTCTGTTTATTTCATTGGTGGGTTGCTCCGGAGATGGTCTCCATTCAGGAATCACAGCATAAGTCATCTGTATACTCGAGTCGGCGTAAGATAATACGCCAACGTAGAATCTTTACCTCGTGAAATAAATTCATCTCAAAAAGGTCCTTGTAGATATCTATAGTGGGCAGTTCGTCCGGCTCTATTTTACTTTTGCGTTTGCACATCGCCCTAATTCTTTCTATTGCGTCCTCGCGTTGGATTTTCTGAAAGCCATCCAAAGTTTGCTTGTTTGGCTTTTGATCAAGCTAAAGTACGATCAGTTAACCAGTCAATGGCAAAAGCCAATAGGGGACATAACTCACAAATCTCAAGAATCTCTATGCATCGATCATGATCAGCATCTGCTACGCATTCTATGATAGAAGTAGCTTTCGACCTATCTACCTTATCTGGGAACTTACTGCTGAGAATTAGCCTGGCAAAATTTAACAGCAGAAGGAACTCACCAGGACAAATTTGTACTCCTACGTAATGATTTTCTCTAGGAGGACTCGCGAAATCGGTTAGCTTTCCAGTGTCCTCTAGACAACCATGGTAAAATTCTTGTGTCAAGGTGCCTTCCATAAAAGATGTTGTACTAAAATACTTGCTCGTATCCGGCAACGGTGCCCATTGCCTCATGTCATAGTAGAATATCTGCCGCTTTCTTTTAGCATCCTGCGCAATCAACGTTACGATAACATCTCCAGGGTATTCTTACGATACTACCTTCATCTATAGAACTGCGAGCATCATGGCCATTAGCATCAAGAGGTATAACCTTAGGCTCGTCCGTTGGATTTTTGAATTGTTGGACTATATTACCCAAGGTATTTGGACGGAACATTAGGATACCAGCGTAGGAAAGTTTTGATGTTACGCACCTCTCACTACGCTGGATTTCTTTGTAGTCGTAACCTGGAAGGTATCTTTTCTCTCAATGCCAACTTCAAACGCAGTTCCAAAAATTCGAGCAGCCATATCTCTTGTTTCCTTTTCCGGGAACACACATTCAACGTCTCCCCCGGCTGAGCTGGCGGAGTACCTATTGCTGCTAGGGCCGATTCAGCCATTAGAAATGCTTGCTTCATGCCTGTTTTGAACAAGTCTCTTTTGGCTTTATTAGTTAGCATAAGTTTGCTCATGACAATATAAAATTAACATGCAATCACAAGAGGCATCTAGGTACCATCCATTTCCGTAAGCAAAAGAAGGTAAGAAAGAAAGACAAACGAAAAACAAGTAAATAGAATAGGCTAACATGGCGACAGCAAACAAGGTTATGAAATCCAAGGTAACGATAGATGTAGAAGATTATATCTCATTCTAGATAGGTGGTACAAACTATCCATTTTAACGCCTACTACATGTGTTCAAGGGGTTAAGGTCCGATGAGTATCGTAGGTAGCTAGCTGACTATTCCTATCTATCCTTACTGAACCGTACATTTATTACGAAACCTGACAGATGTTGTACACTAGCTTTAGTACATACATACAGCCTGTGGCTAAGTTGTTTATTTATATGCAAGAAAGACGCCTGCAGTCCCTGCGAAGAGATGCAGGAACGCATGTGAATGCTGTTGTCATAAACAAAGCTATTACTTACAAGTTCAAAGCTAAAACTCAACCAGGACTTTGCATAGTCCCGTATCTGCTAAAAGTTGTCCGTGCGCCACTACCCACACTTCCCACAACCTAAAAAAAAGAAATTCCTGCAGCAAAAGATCTCAACAGAAGATTCAAAAGAGCAAAAAAAAGAAACTGGACTTGCTGGGAATCGAACCCAGGACCTTTCCCATGCTTAGATACGAGACGTATGACGTCACGTGCTAAGGGAAAATTATACCACTAAACCACAAGCCCTGTTGGCTGATTATGGATACTCGATTATCTATTTGGTACATATACTCCAAAAAAAGATGTGCCTGGAAAGCGCGCCTGTACCTCATCTTATTGTTGGTTGCAGGGCAGGAGGGCGTACACGACTCAAAGTCCAACCAATTAGAGCCTTCCAGGAAGCACAGCACAGACCTCTCCGACACTTTGGGAAAATTATCCTCTTAAACCACAAGCCCGGTGACTGTTTGATGGAGTATCTTCACAACTAAATAATATATACGTTATCATTCGGACTTTGGATTTTTATTTTCGCATTGTTCACAAGATATTATTTAACTCTTGAAAATGCGATTTTTGATTTTCAATTTCTGCTCAATACTCTAGTTTCGCTGTATTGTTTGCTTATCATAGCTGGTTTACAGATTACAGCACTTGTACAGAGAGATAGTAATCGGCATGCTGATTATTGCGTGGCGTTCAACTAGAAAACGCTCCAGCTCACATGGCGTTAACGATTGGATGACGATGAAGTTGTTTAATTTGGCCCCCACGTCGCAATTTATCCTGTCCAGTCAATTCTTATCCCAACCCCGCATCCGTGCAGGCTGGTCCAATCGATGGAGACTTGTGTCTACCCATGCCACGTCCCTGTCTCTGGCCAGACAGTGTCGTCTTTGTTCGTCCCTTCTGTCTGCCTTCTGCTTTCTGTGTCCTGAGCATCCGCATTCTTATTTCCTATTCCTTGTTTCCGCTTTCCGCTTCTTGCTTCTTGTCCCGCTTTCCGCTTCTCGCTTCTTGTTCTGCTTTTCCGCTTGTAAGCCCACCTCCGTCATCGCAATCTACGACCATCACTCGAAGCGAGCCGAGTAACACATACTGACGAGAAATAAGGCAGAAAACTTGGCATATTGTAGGACGGTGATTGGCCTATCTGCAATTGTTGTACAACTGCGGTCAAGGTCTGTTTCCGAGTTGCAGAACTACGAGGAGGTAACAAAAAATTCAAAGTCTGTTTCCTAGTTACATGTCAAACGAAGACTTCTTGCAAAACCACAAAAGGGTGTACGTTAAACAAAGTTCAAAGTCACTTTTATACTCATGATTTTACCTCGTCTCACTTCATGGCTAAATCATAGAGGCGCACGATGCCTGCTTCCTAGTTAGTAGCGACTGGAGAGCTGGGAGTACAATCCCGGATTGGAAGAGCTGTACTGGGGAATGCCAATGCGTCGAGCGGTAGGGAGTACGGGTCCTCTGATCACCTCTCTATGATAGGGTCGGTACATACCGGAGTGCTGTCATACTTAACCTTATTTTGACTACGAGCGTGATTAACCTTACCTCGTGTCTTGACCACAAATGTTGGCATTATAGGCTTCTATTAGGAATATACGGAATTGCACATAAGTTGGCGTCTCTGAAGAGCACGTTGTGATTCTTTGCACTTTGACTGCGAGGGCCGATTTAGTAAGGTGCATGCCGGTCGGAGCAACACAAATTGTCTCTCAGCGCGCGGGCGCGGAATGCACCCGGGACAAAGTAGAATGGTCGTCTTGATTACATCCAATACAGACGTAGACGAGTTCTTAGTAGCACGGAAACAAAATGTGGAGATGGATGGGCCTGAAAGATCAGTTTCTTCATCACTATCTAACTATGAAGGGTCTGCTGCCACAACTCTCCCTCTAAGTGTGGGTGGTCTGGATTGGGACATGGACAGCCCCAGTCAATTTGAGTTCTGAAATCATACATCTTCTCAGTGAGTGTCGCTACTGCAGCCCTCTCGATGTCCTTTAGCTCATGCATGATACTAAGCGCGTCAATATCCTCAATCCATTGCTGATGTAGCATATCGGCCTCCTTTACTAAGTACTGCAATCGAATTTCCTTGCGCTCGCATATTTGAGACCATGTCTTAACAAGTTGACGAGCTGTTCTAAATCTACGAAATGCTCGTTTTACTGGTATCCAATTGCTTGCTATGTCCTCCCATTTCTTAGCAAAGTCTTTCAGATCCTGACGTCGATATCTGGCACGGCCCATTTGGTGGTAAAGATACAGTTCGCTTCGTTTGAATATGGGAAGATGGGCCCCTGGCGCTGCCACTGCAGCTGAGCGTGCTATTTCAGAACATTCAAGGAGTATCGCTTCTGCATCGTTTCTGGGGATAAATGTGGTAGCTGCTCAGTATAAGCGCATGTCTGGTATATCTGAGGAAGATGTGTAAACCTCTAGAACGGCGAGAAGGAGTTGGTTGCTGGCTGGGTACTAATCTTGGTCTTCTGAGGCGAGTATTGAGGCTAGTGGAGGCCAGAGGCTTCCGTTTGTTGTTGATCTGGACTGGCATTGTAATGGGAGCGTAAAGTAGTATAATGGAGCACAATCAGCGGGTATCACTCTTTAATAATGCTTAAAGCCAAGAGTACTGTCTGACCAATCATCTTACGCTTCAAAACTTCAACCCTTGCACTGCTCGTGATTGAAGATCCTTTTTCCATCTTGTATCGCATGTCTTGGATATTAATATGTGACTCTCGTGGTCTTTTCTACATCTTAAATAATGCCACTATTAATTCGGCTTCCAATAGAATTGCATAAAGAAGATTGCTTATTGTTCAAATAATAGCATCTAATTATTTGATCTCTAGAACTTTATATAATTGTCTAACTACTTTGCACAACAGCGATTAGGCGAGAATAGAGGATACTAGAGCAAGCAGACCGTAAACGAGCAAAACCTTCCATGGACGCAACAAAACACTGGCATCATTCACAATCTCGGGGGATATAGATGTCAAATTTTGACTTCTTGACAGAGTCGGATCGGTCGAGGGAGCCGTCATTGTCTGCTGTCCATGTGATAGACAGAAGCCGTGGCCAGTGGCTGTTCGATACAATGTACTTGACGTACTATTTGCTCGCTCTTTGAATGAGTCATGACGGCCAGGAGAGTTAAGACTAAACACCATTCCTGCATGGCAATGGGAAGTCGGGCTGCTCTGTGCACAAAAGAACCATTGCGGCTCCTTCGTCTCCACCAAATAGTCAATAACGAATGCCCCGCTGGTATTTTTCGGGTTGAATTGCTCATATCCAGTGTCAAATAGCGAGGCGTTCCGGCATGGATGTTCGAATGAGCTCTGGGTCAATGTATGATTACGACCGAGGAAGTTGAATCGAAGAATTGTACCATTGTCGACACTGAGCGAATCAGGATTAAATGCAAGTTTTCCCGCAGCGCCAACCACAATTTCGACAACCTGCCGATTTGTTTCTGGCCAGGTTTTAGATATAGTGGAAGATTCAGTGGTAACAGCAGTAGGAAAGGCAGTGGGAAAGGCAGTGGGAAAGGCAGTGGGAAAGGCAGTGGGAAAAGCGGTAGGAAAGGCAGTAGGAAAAGAGGTATTGAAAGAAAAGGTATTCAAAGTGGCATTCCAAGCGAGCTTGCGATGGGTCCACAAGTTAGGCGTAGCAACAAGAGGTGAGGTATATGTTTGCATGTAGTACATCTTCGGTGGCCCATGAACACCAGGCATTGCATACTTCATATATAAGGCAGATAGAGTCAAGGATACTGTATTACGTTTCTGTTATCTTATTGTAACTTTCTCGTTTACAGTTTTTGGTGATTTAAAAACCGTACATCTTGCGTGAACTTTTTTTTAGTTATAAGCCAAGCAATTTCAACTTCTCAAGGTGGGTTTCTCTTATCTCATTTTCTTTCCAACAGTTTCGGAATACCTAAGATCGCTATCCTGGTATCTACCTGACTGAAACACACACTGCACATACATATTTAGACAAGATACGGATACACACCTCATGGTCTATTGCAAGACTATTCCATTTGGGTGTTTTACGGTCTATTCAAAATGTCAAACCAAGAAAGCGCTTCAGAACGGCCGAAATCAGACGCTAGCATGAAAGATGCCGCGGGACGGGCTGCGAGTGAACAGACTGTTCCGGATGCACCACACACCAAAAAGGATGGTGAAGACGAAGAGATGAAAGATAGTGATCTAAGCGAGGAAGATGAGTTGTATTACTACGTCATTCCCAAAATGTCTGCCGATATGAGCCAAGAAGAATATTTGGCTCACAAGCAAAAGGCTATAGAGACCGAGCAACGGAAAGATATATCAGCATATTCGACACATTGCGTGCGACCAAATAATATGGATGATGCAGCTTGGGCGACGGAACAGAAGCGCCAGATTTTCAAGCTCAAGAAGTATGCCACATTCGCGTACTGTCTGACAAACGTGGACCATAATGACGGAAACGCAATGGACGCAGCAGTGTCAGCGGCCGAAAACGAAGAAGAGTCCTATGAGATCACTTTCATGGACAGAAGACCAGATATGAGTGATGATGCATGGTCACAACAAAAACAAAAACTACTTGCGAAAAAGAAGTCGGAAGATGGTGAAGACGAAGAAACCAAGCAACGACAGAACTACCTAGACCAAGGCGCCAGCAATGCAAAGAGCTCACATACCCAAAAGGCTCTTTTAGAGGAGAAGGTCCAGGCTAGACTAACAACAGTACCGGAAGCCGTAAGAGAGAGGCAACTGCAAATGTTGCCAATACTCTGGAACTGGTGGAGTGAAGGGGCTGCACAGCAAGATCAGAGTCAGCTAGCTCTGCTGAACCAACATATCTCTCATGTCACGCAAGATGCGCACCTTTATAGAGTGACAGGTACCCAGATTGAGTCATTCATGAAAACAATCACGGGAAAGCTTAGAGAGTGTGCAGCAGAGTCCGTTCCAGATGACACCGTGTTAGGCCTCGCAGCCCAGGTTATTTCCTTCACAAACACTCTTCGCAAGGTAGGCCTAGACTGTAAAATGATGGCCTCGAACGACATACATAACTCTGTGATGAGATGTTTACGAAAATCTCATCGGCAAGATGTAGTTAAGCGGCGAGAGAGCTTCGAAAATGCTTTTCTTGAGATTGCACCAGCGCAACTAAAGGTGTATGAAAAAACTGACACCATTCTTGAATTTCTTGAATCTGGCATCAAGAAAGCAAATGAACCAATTGTCAAAGCAACTATAGAACAGCTTAAGGGGTTGAACATACTGATGGGAGAGTGCAATGGCGTGCATGGCTACAAACGATGGGACCATCAATTCCCAATATCGGATCTAGAGGCCTGTTGTTCCGATGAAATCACAACAAGCAAATACCTGACTCACCTAGAGTTCAAGATGAAGATTTTGGGCATTCCCGGCCATGAAAGAGTTGCCAATATGCGGAGTGTAGCTTACGAAATTGATCCTGCTACAAAGTCCTTCATCAGGGATCAGCTGTTAGAAGTTACCAGGGCAGAGGAACCCGTACGGATTCTTGATGAAGCTCCTCTGTTGGACTCCGGTTTTAGTGGTCTACTACATCCCGAATCAATTCCCCAGAGTACGGTGGCTTGGGGTAAGAACAGGGCAGACTTTTACATCAATCAGTATGGCCCTGTGCACGCCCCGATATGGCGCATAGAGAAAATGGCTACGCGAGCTTGGACTGAAAGGTACGGGCAGCAACCCCCGACTAAACTAAAAGTTACCGTCCCAGGAAACCGGTATGGAGATGAGAGGGATTCGAAAGGAAACCCAAGGTACGGCCAAAACCATATACAGGGAATATACGGGGTAGCCTTCTGGGAAGATGGCGACCTAGAGCAGCAGACAGTCGAAGAGCTTCTCAATCCGGACGGCGAGAGACGACTTGATCCGGCTTACGTTCTGATCGGATGGGATCGGAAGCTAAATGGAAGAGATATCGAAAAGTGCTGGGAAACGAGACAGTGCTTGAGACAACGAAATGGCAAGGTTAAGGCAGATAAGCAGATCAGTAATGCTGCGGTTCAGTCCCAGGAAAAGTTCAACGATTGGTATGAAGAATATACAGGAACTGACAGCGAGATTGCACCCATAACCTCCCAAGACTTTCCGCCTAGCAACCTACATCTTCCAACGCTCCACACTGGCATCCAGAGTCCAGTCGTAGGCAGCGGCGAAATTTCTATGTTGAGCAACGCAATGAACCGGGGGCCTTCTACAGCGAATCATTCGAAAGAAATTGCGGCAGCTCTGTCGTTGGCAATGGCTCAATTCTGCAATATTGCCGATGACGATATTCGCAATAAGAAGGTAAACAAGTTCATGAGCAATACTTATGGCAAAACATGGGCGGAATTAATAGCTGGAGAATAAGTTGTATCGGTGTTCAGGTTGTAATCTTGTGCTCCCCTGATATTCATAGATTGTGATTTCATAGACTTTCCAATGCCAATAACAAATCAATCAAATTCATCTACTTCCATAATAGTGTCTAGCCGCGACCTAGATATTGTGGAACAGCGCTTATAAACGCTTAACGTAACGTCCGTCCCATGCCGAAAAGGATTCTACAAATAGTCAGACTGGATCCTCCAATTCAATGGAATTAGGGTAATTTGAGTTTTAAGGTGTCGACCAAGTACGTCTGCTTCTAAAGCCAGTAGAAATATAGAAAATTACATGAATTATCACCATGTTGTCGATCTTTTCGTCATATTCCTGTACAACTTCGCCTGTTCCAAAGCTATATAACAATGTTTGCGTCTATCATTCATGCCTATCGGTGCAGCTAAAATACCTTTCTACTATCTATAAAAGGCTTCCGTGCAATTAAAGGCTAATCTATATTACAGGAATGTAGTCCGGATTTATCCGACTGGAGAGGCCCTGAACAGCTCTTGGCAGGCGACTTGACACTCGACCTACCAGGCTTAGCGTATGCTGTCTAAGTAATGTAAATCACACACGCACCGGGGCCATGCCTTATCATCCGAAAACTGACGCAATCTGCACAGCCACAAATGCTACGGTAAAAATCCACACAGGTATCATCGCACATGAGCCCGAACCGGTGGTTCGCTTCCGTCGGGGCGGCGCTACATGAGATCGCGCCATAAGGCTGATGATCGACTTCCTGGCGTCGGGGGGAGGTGGTACAGTACCTTGCAAAACCGGTCTCACCTTCGGCACGTTCCGAGATTTTATCAGATCCTTGCGCGACTGGACTGCTGTCAAGTACATTTCCAATATATTCCATAGTAAGCGCAGCCTTAAGAAGGTAATAAGTGCATATAGGATGAAGCAGAATTATTAACTTATCGCAAGAGTTCTACCTGCTTGCTCTGCTTCCCATTCAGCTAAGGTTTCCTGAGCAGATACTAGATCAGGATGCCCTGGTCGAAGAGTCTGACAGCGAAGATGAACGCACTCCTGCAGCAAGCCTATAGCTTCAGCACTTCTCTCTAAGCTTTTCCATGTCCAAGCAAGATTAGCCATGCTGGTCAGCGTGAAAGGATGGTCTGCTCCTAGTTTCTTCTTGCATGTCTTCATCACTTGCACGTCCAGCTCCTCTGCTGCATCCCACTGTCCTTGATTCCGGTAAGTCGACGCCAGATTACCCATGCTGG